ACATCCATCTTTTGTATTCAAGTTTTAAATAAAATTTATAAAAAAAAACTACAAATGAATGATGTAACTTTTTTAGGTACAATCTGTCCCATTTAGGTACATTTATTTTATAATATTAAGTACAATCTGAAATTTCCATTTTTCATCCCTGCTAGGGATGCAAATTAGATCCGATGCTTAGGGAGAACGAGGGAAAACGGCGTAATATCTACCAGCCAACGCGAGATGTCATAGGGAGTTAAACGTCCTTATATGAAAAAGCTGCTAAGGAATGCAAATGCACTTGCGGCAGCGTACGCAGATGAGACCACAAAAACGTCGCCGTGGCCAAGGCAATAGCCCGATCGTGCTCGGAGGAAAGCGACTGAAGGAGCTGTGGGATCTCCTGCTAATGAACGTAGGAAAAACGGCGGAGAGAACAAACAGGGACGCCCACAATCGAAAGAAAAGGTACCTTCTGGAACTTCCACGAACTCAACGCTACTGAAAAAAGATAGCGAATGGGTAGAACTTAAGAAAAAAAGAAAGACGTGGAAAAAGATAACCATTGGGAGAACGAAGTCAGACGCCATTGTCATTGAAAAGAAAAGAAAGACGATGAAAAAATGTATCGTAAAAAAACAAAAAATGGATCAAATGTATCTCTAACTTTTTATTTAGGTATCTTAGTATCAAGTTAGAAAAGATTGTTCAAAAAATGTTATTTGGTTTTATACCACTGCTTTTTATTATTGTCAATAACCGAAAAATTATGTAATTCACATTTATACATATACATATGGATGTACATACATGAAGGAAAATATCTTACATATAATCACAATCTATCAAAATGGAGGTTATTGTTTTTAATATTGTACTAGCAGACCCGGCGAACTTCGTCCCGCCCAAAATTTTTATATATTTTATTGAAACTTTTTGGTCCAACATTTTCACCAACAATTCACGTTTACGATTTTCATTGGCACATTCGTCTGCTAAGATTATGGTTTGGTGCTCATTTGCCGCTTTAAATAACCTAATAAATATCCGTGAAGAAGTTCTTGAAATTCTCCAGTTGTGCGGCATTTCATAGCACGGTTATTCGCAAAGCGAAATAAATTTTTTTCTCTTCACTCCCTGGTGGCAACAATGACCCGGTTCTATAGTAAATATCCTAGAAGCTTTACAGTATAGTTGGTGGCGCTTTCAAAATGGGTGCGAATCATTGTTCTACAGAAATGCAATATATGTAAATACATATACCTATTTCAGACGAAAGACATTAAACGCTGGTACACATAATAATATTGGGAAATCACATCCATTGGGCCAATCGCAACGCAGGAGCGTTCGATATACTCAATGGCGCAACAGGTCGATTTAATCTGACCTTCACGGCCCCTTTTCTCACTTGGCTATTTTTAGTAATAGCTCGACTTCAGCACCACTTGGCAGAACGTTTTTGCAATAGTATTGCATACATATTTAAAACATTATCCAAATAGGATCATAAATAAGATTTTTAGTAATAACTCAACTACAGCGCCAACTGTCGGATTAAATTGTGAAACTAAACCATCCAGAGACCCAACCAAACACACAAAAAGTTTCGCTAAAATCCGTACAACCATTTAGGAGGATTTCACTCACCAACACACCTACAAAAGAATTTAAAAATACATTCAAAGATAACTAAAGGTCGGTACGTTTTTAGGCCTCACACCCCCTTTTCAAATAGCCCAAATTTTCTCCATGAGTATGAGCTTGATTTCAACTACTTACATATCTGAATACTTTCAAAGATATGCAGTATAAAAATTCGATTTATTGCGATTGATTTCGTATATCTCCATACCAAGTTCCAGAACTCTACCATGCACACTTTCAGAGATATGTAGCATGAGAAATTCGGTTTGTATGGGAAGTGCCACGCCCCTTTTACATATAGATTTTTGTTTAGCCTAAAACCATCCTTGGGACACGTGCGACCGGTGGCAGTTTCAAAAAAATCGGTTCAGCCGCTCTCGAGCCTTGCGAAAACTAAGAAACGGCTTTCAAAATATATATTAGCTGAGATATATTATATATTATAATTATATTTTGACAGTATCCGTTGTTTCTGTTTGGCGCAAAAAAATCTTGCCAAGTGACGAATTCGCCCCTTGATATGGTCGTTGCTCAAAGCTATTTATATTCGAAATTGCATTAAAATTGGAAAACAGGAACCTATAAGCTACCTACGCACCGAATTTTAAGCAAATCGGACCATAATAAGATTGTTTCGAATAGATCGGTCCCTGGTCCACTTCTCGGAA